GACCGGTCTGTGACTACACAGCCCCACACACAACCAACTGCATGTCCTGACACCTTCTATCGGAACCAGCATTAACGTTTTTAGCAATTGAGCTACCATGGCTCTTCTGTTGGATTGAACTATGTTGGCCAGCCTTTGCTCCCCATGTGCATCAATGGTCAACCATGACCCTGCCACTGGTTTGCTGATTTTCCTTCCTTGGATCAATTTTGGTAGGTCCTAACCACTGCATGCAAACCGGGAACAACCCACAAGAACTGCAGTTTTGGAGTTGCTCTGACCCAGTCCTCCTCCACTACAATTTTTGGCCTTTGTCAAAGTTGCTCAAATCCTTACACTTGCCCATTTTTTTCTGCTTTCAGTAGATCAACTTCAGGGACATGTTTACTTGCTGACTTTTAGATGATATTGTACTGAAATAATCAATGTTATTCACTTTACCTGTTAGTGGTCATATTGTTATGGCTGACTGTTGAATGTGTTTAAATGGCATTTTGGAATCGCCATCGTAGGCCCATTTGACAGGGTGACAATGCAGACGCACAATAAGCAAAACAAGGATAAAGAGTTGTCAGACAATTACAGGATATAAATGCATGCATAGTGATTGTCATAAGAGGATCACCGAGTATTATTTTGAAAAAGCTTCAGATTTAAAAGTATTGAAAAAAACTTTTGGAAATTACAATAACACATTAACTTCTTTGTGCCGGTCACTCACGGCCCTTTTAAGAGTTTCAGGAGGCGGATGGGGTTTTAGGGTCATGTGACCGCCGTGATTCGCTGTCAGGGCGGTCACATGATCGGAAAAGGGGAGATCGGGACCTTTACGGGAGTCGCGGACATATGTGCTGGGAGCGTGCAGGGCTTGTGCTCTCAGCACATATATATTTTTCTTATTGCATGCAAATATGCAGCCGCTCAGCGTAAAGGCCCAGACTCCGAGAAGCTGCATATTCACATGTGATCGGCATCAAGGGGTTAAAGCTTAAGGTTTTTTTTTTTTTATTGAGTTTAAGGTGGTTGTAAACCTCAGACATGAAATATGAACAAAGCATATCTCTCTATAGTGTGTACTTGTCTCAATCTAGAGCACTAAGTGCCATTTCTGTCCGCTGCGTTGTTCCTCTGCTATCTGCATGAGTCACTTCTGACAAGTTTTCCTGACACCAAGAGAAAAATGGTGACAGGGGAGGGATCTCCAGCAGATTGACAGCCTCAGCTCTGTTCTTGTGAGCTGTGTGGAGGGGGGTGTGTCCCTTCCTTCCAATCAACTATCAGAGTTCTCACTGAATGTACCTTCAGCTCCTCACCCTCAGGTTTTCAGAGCTGAGATCCTGTGTAAATTCTGCACTTTGAACTGATATAGAGAAGAGAATACTGCATTTAAACAGGTACAACGTATATAAGAGGATTTGTTTCACCTCTGTGTATCATATGAGACCAGTCACTTCACTGGGTATATGTACGGGTTTACAAACACTTTAAACAACACAGTTCAGTACTGTGCATGATACTATTTTTTTATTTGCACTAACATTTTAAAATTCCAGGATGAGCTTTTGGGAAACTACACCCTTCTTCTCAATTTTAAGCAGTACTTCTAACCAAAAAGGCTTAGCAAAATTGTGCTAAATGTTTGTGTATCTGTTGGACCAAGAAAAAGGGTGTAGGCTTGTCCTGAAATGTTTAAATCTGCAGTCCCTAGTTCCCTCCTACTCCCTTATCAACATGCTATTGAACTTTTTACATAGCCTTTCCATTTTTATTGCATACTTTTATTTTTAAAATCAGTGATGAAACAAATTGCCTTTTAGTTTTCTTGACTTTAAGATGCCTACCGGTGAACAGGATGGTAGGGGAGCTCTTGGAAAGACTCCATAGCTCTCAACTGTCCCTCATATTGAAGGAAGTAGTGTTCTTCATTTTGTACCAAATCCCTCTGGTCCTCTTTCCTGCACACTTGTTTCTTTTTTTCAGCTAATATACAAACTTTTTTTTTTTTAAATCTTAAAATCTACCATTTTAAAGTGGTTGTAAAATTAAAACATTTTTCACCTTAATGCATTCCCTGCATTAAGGTAAAAAAACACATTTTGCCACTTCTGTGCCCTCCCTCCCAAACCTCACTTACCTGAGTCTTATATTAATCCTGCGCTGTGCCCGTCTGCCGGTCTTCTCTCCTCTCTCCCTGCTCTCCCAAGCTTTGCTGAGAGCAGTGGGAGCTACTGGCTCCTGCTGTTGTCAGTCAAATCCTGTGAGCAGAGAGCAGGGCTGAGCTGCAGTCTGTGTGTTAATGGACACACACAGCCCGGCTTGGAATCGAGCCCGCACGTCTGCCCCCATAGCAAGCGCTTGCTATAGTAGCAGACATAGAAGAGGAGGAGGCAAGTTCACCAGTGTGGGACTCCAGAAGAGGAGATTCAGGGCTGCTGTGTGCAATACCATTGCAGGGAGCAGGTGAGTGTAACATGTTTATCATTTTTAATTAAAAAAATAGTTTACTAAATCTTTCATTCAACCTCTAAATTATTACATTTTGTTATTTTGAAAAGTCCGTAAAAAGGAAGGGGAGTGGTAAAAAAAATCTCTTGTGGGTGTAACCAATCATATTTTTGCATAAACCTCTTCGCATCAGAATAACTCCTATATACAGGTAGGCCTCAAGGCTCTGCTGTTGTCACTGACAGCTCCTGGTCACTGTTTAGGACTGGCAGCTGGTGGAACAGGCTCATGATCATGTGAGCCCTGTTACAGCCAGTCACAGTGGTCACATGATCAGAAACTCTGCCTCAGCCTCTCAGGATCCAGTTAAGGGCTCAATCACACTTTACTGCGGGCCCTGTGCAGGTGCGTGTTTCCCCTGTATGGGGATGCATAGGTGTTGCCTCCCTGTGCCAACGTCCTATTCATTTCTATGGGGACAAGGGGCTGCACAAACAGTCGCTGTGTCCTAATATAACATGCGGGTGAGTGCGGGTGCAGGTTCCTGAAAGCGCCCTGTGTGCATTTGGGGTCCCTTACCTGCATGTCATATGAAAACACAACTGCTGTGTCTATGCAACCACGTTTCCCAAAGGGAATGAATGTGACGCTGGCACAGGGAGGCACACAACAAACCTGTGCATCCCTGTGCTGGGAAAACACTGGCCTGAACAGGGCCCGTAGTAAAGTGCCCCATGTGACCGAGCCCTAAAGGGCCACCAGGGGGCATTGGGAAGGGGTAACCCTTGGCCGGAGTAAGTCTTTTGCCTACATACTTTGTGCTAGAAGGTGTCCTCTCTCACCTCCAAAGGTGGGTGGTATATAGGCTCCTTACCATGCTTCATTTCAGCACAGCCTTTCTCAAACTTTTCAGCACAGAGGAACCCTTGAAATAAATTTCCAATCTCAGGGAACCCCTGCTAAAAAATACTATATTTACTACTTGTAATACATTAGTGTGATGGTGATTGGGACGAATTGTCCTTACACTTGTGGTCATTGGGAATTATTACCCCCTTACAGATAGCCAAAGAGATCAATGGTATCAGTGGGAACTTGCTCAAGGTACACCAGCAACTTCTGGGGCAGCCTTTCTCAACCTTTTCAACACAGAGGAACCCTTGAAATAACTTTCTGGTCTTGGGGAACCCCTGCTAAAAATTACTATATCTATACCTCGTGACACATTAGTGTGATGGTCTGTGGGAAGAATGCTCCTTACACTTGTGGCCTTTGGAAAGGATAACCCATTTATAGATGGTTAAACAGATCAGTGGTGTCAGTGGAAACCTTTCTTAGAGGGAGAAATTGCTCACGGAACCACTAGCAACCTCTGGAGGAGCCCTGGCTGAGAAAGCAGATAGTGTGCTGCATGTATTCCTCTGCAGAATGTTTGTAGGTAGCGATCTAGTAAATGTACTTGTGATTTCTTTTTTTCCTGACTGAACAAGCAGAAGTCCTCTTGCTTGTGTTATATGAAAATAGCTGAGAAAATGTATTCAGTTGATTGTCCAGTGTGTCCAGTTCAGACAGGTTGACATGAAGTTTATGTATGTAGTTTTTAATGATGTTAATATTCATTTAAATATGGTAAAATACTGTTTGTTAATCAGCCAGCAAGCTCTGTCATGCTGCAAAATTCCACACTGATTGCCGTTTCTTTTTTCATTTCTGTAGTTTTCGTCAGAGTTCATGAGAATCACATTTCAACAGCTGCAACCTGATGTAAGACTTTGGAAAAACACTGTCCTGTACACAGGCGGCACCAGGCACAGCACTCTGGGTAACTCTGGAGAATCTAACTTCTGAGTATGGATGTGTTCTCTTACTGGACTCTTCTCATTTGCAGTTACTTGACTTTTAAGACAGCAACCACGCTTTGTCATGTGGATTATTAACCTCTTCACATTCAGTGTTGGACATAACACAACTATTTACTATCTGATTCATTCCTTGTGTATGGTTACACTCTCAAGGATCCTTGAATGAGCCAAAACAGCCAGTTCTGGAAAAAGTATCAATAACCATTCTCAAGATCCAGTGCTTCCAGCAGCTGGCCTGATTGGCCAATGATGTCCTGGTGAGTTTCTCTGCTATCTGCACTGTGTTATTTATATTCACCTCAATGTACCTGAAAAGGAATTTTATTAGAAAAAGATCCTTTCTTGCTCATCCATCCCTATTTCCTACATTGAGAGGATTTTCATGAGCATGAGAGCCGTAATCTTGTTCTTAACTTTTGATCCATCTGATGGTGATTATAGCCTGCAATGCACTCTGCATGCCAGATCTCTCTATGGATGGAGTATGTATCTATGACAATGGTTCTTCTATGATTTATATGAGGGCTACCAGAAGACAATGCTCAAAATCCTCTTTGCTGTGTAATTTTTCCCAAAATACCTCTTAGTTTGCAACAATTTATAAACCGTAAAATCACTTTGAATTGGAAGCTGACAGGTTATAAATATATACTTATAGATACAAATAATAATAATATTTCCTTCTTCTTATAGATGACCATCTGCAGGAAGCCATCTGGGAAGACAGTGCCTGGAAAGGAGGGTGAGGATACCACAGTCGAGCCCCTTCAACATTCCAGAAGGAATGGCTGGAGTTGGCCTCCTCACCCTTTACAGTTTGTGGCCTGGATCACATACCTTCTGTTTACAGTCATTGGATTTGGGGTCCTTGTTCCCCTGTTGCCCCGACACTGGGTGGCTGCTGGTTATGTGGTATCCTTTCATGGGAGTTCTGAAGCAATACTATTATCTCCATACCTGCAGTAAAGCACAATGTTTGGCTGTAAAGTAATACCATTTAGTGGCTAAAAACGGGCCACACGTGGTTCAGTTTTTTTTCATCTTTTTATCTGACAGGGCAGTTTTATAGAAGTTTATCTGTAAATTGACATCTGTTCAACTGCAGTGGCTACACATGGATCATAATTTTGACTGGTCCCTGCTGAACCAGCCAAAATTTCGTTCCATCTATGGCCACTTTTTCTCAGTAGATTGAAAGTTAAAGCTTGAATCACTGTAGGTTTCTTCTTCATGCCTGACCACAAACCTGGAGTTTTGAAAGTTTGCTAAATACACAGGGACCACTAATACTGGCCAACTACAAAAGACAATGAAAGTGTTGCTTATAACACCCTTTAACTTTATGCTTTTAAAAGAATGTGCAAGGCTATGAGCCTGCTGTAGGCTACATTATCAGATCTTCTTGAGCTCTATTTGATTTTAACTCCAAAATATGAATTCTGGAGATGACAGCATGGTGTGGAGAGATGGGCATTGCTTATGGTAGGTTGCAATTTTCACCTTCAGGAGACTTTATCACTTTGCTTCTGTGAGAGGTAATAAATGTCTGTACATTTTATATTTGCATGTTGCTTCATATTCATGCACTTAACAACGGTCACAAAAGAGTTAATTTCTAAGGACACAGGGTACTTTAACCGCCTCCAGCCCGCCATATAAGGTAATGACGGGTGCAAGGCGGTTCTCTCATTCTGGGAGGACGTCATATGACGTCCTCCCATTCTAACCGTGCATGCGCAAATCCGGGAGCACACAGCACGGCGATCGGTGGTGAGCTGTGTCCCTCAAACACAGCGGATCACCAATCAACGGAAAAAAGCCGAAGATGTCGGCTCGGTCATGTGATCAGCTGTGTCCAATCACAGCTGATCACATTTAAATAGGGAAATGCCGGTTATAGGCATTTCTGTCCTCACAAGCTGTCACGCTGACAGCTCAAGAGGAGAGGAGAGCCGGTAATTGGCTTTACTCAGAAAGGACATGTGCACTGATCATCACGGCACTGATGATCAGCGTGCCCTGATGATCTGTGTAGCCCTAGCAGTGCCACCTGTCAGTATCCATCAGTGCCAGCTTTCAGTGCTCATTAATGCCACCTGCCAGTGCCCATCAGTGCCACATCATTGCCACATATCAGTGCCCATCTGAGCTGCCTTTGAGTGTTACCTATCAGTGCCAGTCAGTGCCACCTATCAGTGCCAGTCAGTGCTGCCTATCAGTGCCACCTATCAGTGCCAAATATGAGTGCTACCTTTCAGTGCCCACAAGTGATGCCCATCAGTGCCACCTACCATTTCCTTCTCATCAGTGCCACCTATCAGTTTCCATCAGTGCAGCATATCGGTGCCCATCACTGCAGCCTCATTAGTGCACATCAGTGAAGGAAAAAAATCACTTATTTACAAAAAATAAAAAACCCAGCGGTGATTAAATACCACCAAAAGAAAGCTCTATCTGTCTCAAAAAAAAAATGATAAAAATTTCATATGGGTACAGTGTTGCATGACCGCGCAATTGTCATTCAAAGTGTGACAGTGCTGAAAGCTGAAAATTGGCCTGGGTAGGAAGGGGGTAAAAGTGCCCTGTAGGCGAGTGGTTAAAAATGTGCTTTTAATATGTAAATCAACCTGGGATACTGCATTTCCATTTCACAAAATCCCATAGAAGGCTGAAAGTGTTATCTGGTGCGAAGTGGCCACACAACGAAGCAAAAGTGTACTCCTAAGGTCTCATGCACACTAAAGCCAGGGACTGGCTGAGAATCGATCCATGTATGGGCAGGCTGATTTTACACAAATCGCTTGATGTAGATGCATATGATTACTGCCAGCGGCTATAACCAATAGCAGTAATCATTGTGTTCTGCTGACCGGGAAAAGTGGTTACCTCAGGGGACTAATACGATATACCAAAAACTTGAGTAAAAGTATATTATCTTTATTGAATATCAAAATTGCTACTAATATAAAATGTAATGAAAAAAAATCTAGTACACATCCATATTCTTGTCCAGACAATGTTGTCTTCCCCCATAATCAAAATATCAGTTGTCACCTGTGGCCACCATACAGGGAGATGTTGCCAGATTGTGGAACCTCCACTAATCAGGATATTTCCCCAATGTATAATACCTCTCAAAGGGACTACACAGTATGTCAGTGAGCCATAAATTGAGAGATAAATTGAGAGATATGAAAATTGCAATTTTTTTAAATTAAGTCTCAATGAGAAGGAGATACCATAGTGAGTCCATGATAGACCAATCACTGCTATAGTTTGCCCATATTTCTATATATGTATATGCACGTGGAAGTTCTTCTGTGGCAGTTTCAAACTTGGTTGATGTACAACAATACCTATGTGCAGAATACAAGGGATATGTTGAGTAAGATATCAGAATTGGAGGTGACAGATGACTCCCTTGGTAGGGATCGACGTGGAGTCCCTCTGTGACTCTGTGCAGTTACGGGAGAAATATTACCTTCAGATGGGGCCACAAAATAAGTTAATTATGAAACTCCTTGAGTTGGCTCTTGCAAATAGTTTTTCCAGTTCAGAAATGGCTATTACCAACATGTTAGGGACCTCGATGGGGGCACCTGGAAGAATAAAGTGTTTATACCTCATCTCTGTGTCTTAGCCATGTTAAATTATGGTTAGGATTCATCGAAGATGTCCCCATAGTCTGGACTGGAAGCATTGAAGAGCTAAAAGAATATATTGATCAACTGAATTATGATTTATTGAACATCAGATTGACCTATATGTATGATCTTCATATATAGGAATGATACATACAGTATATAGGAATATGGGCAAACTATAGCAGTGATTGGTCTATCATGGACTCACTATGGTCTCTCCTAGTCATTGAGACTTAATTTCATATCTCTGAGTCACAATTTTCATATCTCTACACTGTGTAGTCCCTTTGAGAGATATTATACTTTGTGGAAATATCCGGATTAGTGGAGGTGCCACAATCTGGCAATGTTTCCCTGTATGGTGGCCACAGGTGACGATTGATATTTTATTCTGGGTGAAGACAATGTTGTTAGCATGAATATGGATGTGTTTTAGATGTTTTCATTATATTTTATATTAGTAGCAATTTTGATGTTTGATATTCAATAAAGATGATATGTTTTTACTAAAGTTCTTGGTATAACGCATTAGTCCTTGGAGGTAACCGCTTTTTAGTGTGAACTCTTTTGTCCACACACATTTGGTGATGATAGGTTTTCTGGTTACATGGGACTACATTCATTTGATGTGTCCAGATACCAGGTGTTTAATATTCTTCTCTTTTAGGTTTTATTTTTCATTTGATGTTTTTTTGCCTCTAAACATGCCTCTTCTAATTCTCCTGTAAACTTCTATAGGCGGCATAGGCTAACATAGAGGTGGGTTTGGAGGCTGGAAAAAGAGTCAAACACTTGTAAAAGCAGCATTTTTAAGCTCAAAGTGCATAAAACTTTAAATGTAAAGCTGGTCATACACACATCGAATTTCACTCTGTGGATGGCCCTGTCGACCATCACCCATCCTTTGTCGAAGATGCTGGGTGATAAATTGTTAGCTGGATTTCACCTGCATTCATTCAGATGCAGGCAGTGTTCGGTCATTCAGAATACAATGGCCTGCAGTGGGAGATTCGTTCATCCGTGCTGTCAGCTTGGATAGAGGAACCTGTTGCATTTTAGCATGCAGGCTGAAAAAAAGAAATCTTTAAGTGTAAGCCCAGCTTTAGAGGTATCAGAATGCTGGTGGTTGTGTTCATGTATACACAGAATATCCATAGTCTTGTTCTTCTCTATTTTCTGTTTTTGTTGCTTAACCCCCCTATGCAGTGTATGGGTGTGCTGTTTGCATTACACCTCGTCGTCCATTTTTTGGCGGTAACTGTTGATCCAGCTGATGAGAATGTACGTGCCAAGAACTCTCCCGGCCCACTGCCTGTGTTCGATAGGACCAAGCATGCCCATGTCATTGAAAACATGCATTGTTACATCTGCGAGGTGGATGTGTAAGTGAAGATTTCTGTGTCTGTTTCATTGTGTATTACATGGAGCAACCTTGGTTCTAAGAAATTAGATGATAAGGCAGTTAGAACATATTGAAACAATAAATAAAGTAATAAGTGAACCCACAGATTTTGTTTATATGTCTAACAATTTTGTCACTGATTTTGTTGGTTCAGCAACCTCCCCCTGTTGAGACATTGTATTCTGACAAGGGAACTTTCCCCCTGCCAGAATGCACCAATCAGTGCTCAGCCATTGGCTGTGAATGCTAATCAGATGCTGGTTTTCCAGCATGTCCCTTTGACAAAAGCCGGTCGTTAGGCCAGTTTCTGTCAGACAGGCAGCAGTACACGGTGACCGAATGTGGTCCAGTTCCTGCTGAAGGAGCCGATATTCGGCCCGTGTGTACACTGGTTAACTTTCCATTAGCAGTACAACTATGAGTACAAAGATCTAAAGCAAGCTGTATGACTCTGGCGTACAATTGTTCACTAGCATTCCGATTGTCTAATGCGTGTATAAATGACACGTAAGGTTGGCTGACCAATGCTGTAAGTGGTGATGTATTTTGTTTACATTGCATTATCCTGCTTACAGTGCAGTTATGTAATCACTGTGCTTTTCTGCTCAGATGCACATGCTGATTGCTGAAATTTAACCAACATAGATACACCCTGCAGGGAAGTTCTGAAGGACTCATGAGGCCTGTGAATAGAGAAAAGAGTGGGGTGCAGGTGCACAATACTTGCAGGGCAGTTTCATTAACAGTCAGCAGGGAGAATGACATATCTCTCCCTCTGCTCTTCGAGGGTTTTTTTTTTAAACCTGTGTTTTTGTACTGTATATTGGAGGAATGAAGAATATAGCAGAGAAGACATACCCCAGGGACAGTTTAGAAATGAACAACTGTAGAGGGGGATTTCAGTGCTGTGTATATACAGTATATGTATCAATCCTTCTTTTAATCAACAGTTTGACAGTTAAGGACCCATTCACACAGCGTGTCTGATCAGATAAGTCAATTTTTCAGGCTGACCTGATCTGATGGTCCATTAACCTCCTATGGATAGGCAGGTGTAAACCGACTTGTGTCTGTTTAAACCTCCCTTCCTCAAGGTCTGATCCGGTCTGCTAGAAAAAAACTGAAGGAGGTCTGTCACTTTTTCGTTTAGGTGGATCGGATTAGAGGGTGGTTGGGTGTAAATGGACAGCAGAGTCTATTTACACCTGGCCACCCATAGAGCAGACTGGACTCTGCTCTGCATAAACAATCATCGGGATGACAGTTGGTCACCTGTGACTTGTTTATTGAGCAAGTCTTTTCTTGGATTTAATGTCTTATGCACGTTTTGCTAAGCACCTTTGTGAAAATAAGGGATTATTAAAGGAGACGTACAGCCATAGCTCTTTCTAGAACGTCACCTGAATGAACAGCCTGTGTGCTCTTTCAGTTGCTTGACACATGCTAATCACCATTTTTTGTTAGTACTAGTACAGGGTGCTGTTATTATTGTTAATTAAACTGTTCAATTGAAGGTATAAATATATATTCATTCCAATGTTTCTCAGGTTAGGGTAGTGTTGGGATCAGCACAAGTAACAGGATTGTTTTCTTAAAATTCTTGTTAGTGTATTTGATGAGTATTGCTCTCTTTGTGACTGTGTAGATCAGGGGTGTTAAAGTGGTGGCCCTCCAGCTTGTCACGTCTATGGTAGTGACACAGTCGTTGCAAAACTACAAGTCCCATCATGCCTCTGCCATTGGGAGTGATGCTTGTAACTGTCATTTTTTTCAATGCCTCATGGGACTTGTAGTTTGGCAACAGCTGGAGTGCCGCCAGTTTGACACCCGTGATGTAGAGAGAGGGATGTTGTGTCCTGTTTTCCAGTGCTGCTTAATTTTTTTGGTTCATGCAATAAATGTATTCATTTTCTTACTACCATTGCACTGCTACTTCTTATACAAGCTTTAACACCTATTTTATCTTCACAGGGGTGCCAAATCCAAACACTGCAGTTTATGCAATAAGTGTGTCAGTAATTTTGACCATCACTGCAAATGGCTAAATAACTGTGTGGGAGGCAAAAATTACTGGTAAGTGCCCCACAACATACATACATACATACATACATACATGATTTCATTTTACCAACACCTGACATGGTTTTGAGCTTAGTGACCTACATAAATGCATAGAGCCTGTGGTTTGCCTGTATATAGTCCTGCACTTCTTAAATTGTACTTTGAGGTTCTTAAATACTTTGAGGTTTTGCATGAAAAAAATATGTTAGACACTGCTGCAATAATTTCTGCACAGAAATGAGCTGTAACACATCCAAACACCACAAAAAAAAAAAAGACAGCTAATCTCAACAAATACTGATCTCTCTGCTTCTGCTCTCTCTATTTCTCTCAAAATGTCTGAAATAGTTAATTTTTTTTACTGTTTTTCAGTGCATTCTGGGCATTTTGGAAGGTCTTTTGAGGTTATCTTTAAAAAAACGCTTCTAAACGCAAACGCTCATAAACACAGTATGCAAATGCGGCTAAACAGATGTTTTTTAACCTAGTTAGTTTCCATCGTTCAGAAGTGTCCCGTGTACATGGGGCCTAATCCAAGTGGTAGAGATAGGTCATTCAGGAACTGTAGTCTACGTGGGGACGTCCTGCATATCTGGTAGTCGTGCCTATGATTTATGGGCTTCTGGTCTAGGGTTTTTGGTTTGCTGCAAACTTTATTTCATATTATGTTCCGTAAGGATGCAAGAGTGGCCCTCCTGCATTGCCCAATTTTGGGTCTGTCCATGTCTCAGCAGAAATTGGAATCCTACCTATTCATTTTGGCCAAACGTTCTATAGCTCAAGCCTGGAGAGCCCCTTTGATCGCCTTCTAGGGTGTGAAGACCGGCTGAATGCTATGATGATCAATGAACAGATGTTCAGCATTCTTCAGGATTCTCATCCAAGATTCCTTAAGGTTTGGGAACCTTGGATAAATTATTCCTTGCAGTCCTTGCCTCCTACTAGTTATGGCCTCTTGTAGTCGTTGCCTGTGCTGGCCCTAGATCTGTGATTCTTCCATTCTTACTTTTTCTCCCTGAATCTTTTTCCCTTCTTTATTTCTTTTTACTTTCCTATACTTTCTTCTTTTCATTCGTTTACGTTTCTCTCCCATTTTCCCTGAGATGATACTTCTCGGTAGGGGATTTTCCTCTGTTTTGTTTCGATAAGAAGATGGAACGCTGCTGATATTGATCAGTTCTGCTTTTTGCCGTTCCCCTTGGTGCCATTGGACATTTCGTTACTTTGCTAATTCACCCTGCTGATTTGTAGCTGCTTTTGTATGCTTTTGTTCCGCTCTGCCCCTGCGTAGGTGTATCATGAGCCTGTTGTATTCCAAAAATTTCTTTAATAAAAATATTGAAATAGAGAAGGATTTTGGTTCACATGTTATGTGAATTGGATGTGGTTCAGAACATACGCAATTTGCATATATGTGAACCGGTTCTAAAGGGACTCAATTTTAAAAAATTCAACACTTAATTTTTAACACAATTTATAAGCATGTATATAATTAGTAGTAAAACTGGGGATTTTTTTGTAAGCCATATATATATATTACAATTAGTGCTGTAAGTACCTATAGTTTCACAGTAAATTTAACAATAACAATTTCTTGCACCCCAGCTGATATTTTAGATCTTAAGTAAAACTGATTAAAATCAGATGTCTCTGTGTTTCTAGCACTTTCAAGCTTCATGCTTTGAGGTTTAATGAAGTAGAGTTCAGGCATTTAGCAATTGGTAGAAAACAGACCATATTGGAGTGGATAGATTGTGGCTTTTACCTTGGAGGCGCAACCAAGGACTACAAAGCAGAACAATATTTTATAGGAGGGACCCTCTACAGCTGCTTAGAAGTTTGTACTTTATTGTACTTTATTATAGAGTGTCTCTTTAATATTATGTTCTCATTAGTGTCAATAAAAGTTATTTATTGAAGATGTATTTTTCTTCCTTTTTCAGGCTGTTTTTTAACTGTCTTGTATCTGCATTTCTTGGCACCGTGTTGCTTAGTTCCATTTCATCTTTTGTGTTTCTTGAATACTTTGTCGATCCATCTGTGTTGAGGAGTGACCAAAGTTTTGAAGGTACAATTTTCATTTTTATGTAAATGCTTCATTCATTCTGTATTTGTGGGAGGGAAAGCTAAAGAAACTTTAAGTAAATCTATAAGAATAGAAAATGGGGGAGTTGCTGTTGATGACTTATTTTTAAAGCTTCAGACCTTCATTGACCTTGAACAGTTGTACAGGATTTGGGCTCTGCAACTGGCACGAATGCACGCACGCACATCTAGGAGACCCTGTCCCTTTTTGGTCCGTTTAAAGATTGCTATTGTTTTTACCTTGCATGGTGCCTTGGTATTTTAGACCTCACTTGTCCTAACAATCATTCCTTCAATATGTACAAGAAATGTTGCTGGGTGCTTCCTTCTCGTTCATGAGAATGTGCTGCTAAATTCTTTGACAGGGCTGCATGATCCTTTGCATGCACCAATGAGTTCACTGCCTCCACTTGCCATGGCAACCTCCTCATTCATATGACAAGTGATTGAGAACAGTTGTAAACAAAGCACCAGTGGCTGCTCAGGTCAGACAAATGGACTGTCTTTGTTTTCCCACATTATGCCTCCCAGACAGACTTCAAAAAAGCTTCCCTTATCTTCCCTGACTGAGCCAAATCCTCCTTCATTTGTGTCTCATACACTTCCCTTCCCCTCCCAGACACTGCAGTTTCACAGTATGATGGCTTCAGCAACAGAGATAAAGCTGTCAATCCAGAAAGCAGTGATCAGGACTAGGTGTGATCAGGTGCTGAATGGTAAGCTACAGGCTTGTGAATCAGCAGCAACAATGCTGATAGTCGCAACCTCTGCACATTGTTTTCATCCCATTGTAGTGCAAGCAAGTACAGTCTACATGAGTGGCATCTCATTTAGGAAGCTGCATTAGGTGGAGTTCCCTGGCAGGCTCTACAGGCATTTGTGGGACTTTCAGGGGAACTAAAAAAACACTGTAAGTGCCTATGCACTTAGAATGAAGTGCTGCAGCACGTACTATATGTTATTAATGGTAGGACATAGTTCTACATTAAGTAGACGGAATTTAATAGTGTGAATAGTGTGGACATTTTGATTATATTTTTAAGAGAATATGTTAGACATTTCAAGTTAAATAAAAGAAAAGTGTCACTTGTCCATTCAAGGCAAATGATGGGGTCCAATTGCCAGGTGAGGTGAGAGGGTGGTGAATGGGGGGTTGGGATTGCGCTTTCAAAAGAACCTGTCACTTTTAACCTGAATGGAAAAGGCCACTCAAAGCTACACAGTAAGTCAGGCTGGTTCTGTGAGAGTATACGGATCCTTTCCTACCTCACATCAGTCCTCCATTTTTTTTTATCTTTTCTACCAGATTATAGCTGGATGTGTACATTATGGTCATGAAGGCTGACAGAATCAGACTATGTCAAATCAACACCCTCTGGAATTTTCTGTATCACCTCTAATCATCATCTGTAGTGCAGTGTCCACAAAGCTGCAAGTCAAGCATTTCCAGTGCATGCAGGCTGGTGAATTCATGTAGTTCTATAAAGCTGAGCTGCCTTTATATGGCAAAAATAATAAACAAAGCACTTCTGGTGGTCATTCTACAATAACCCATAGTCACATGAGGACAGATGTGTGCACTGGTGTTCCTGTACTTTCCCCTTGTGTATATTTTAGCAGGATAGTGTTTACATTCTTTTACTGTTAAAAGGCTGTAAAGAAAATATGTAGTTTTTTCTTCATTTTCTGTAATGTTCAACAGTGATATATCTAAGTTGTGTAGTTATTTTTGTAGTATTAATGTATATGTATGTTTTCTAGGTGTGAACCTGTCAGATGTATGGTTTGTGTTCCTTCCAGCTAGCCCAGTGGAGACCCAGGCATCTGTGATTTTGGGCCTGGCAGCTCTTGTTTCAATAATGGGGCTCATTACCATTTTCCTGATAGGACAACTGCTGTGCTTTCACATCTACCTCTGTACGTGATAGAACAGTGAAATTGGAATGTGTTTCATTTATGTACTATATGTTATTCATGTTATTAATATTTTTTTTTTTGTATTTTGTTTATAGAAAGGCTTGTACTCTTTCTCAAGCTATAATAAAGTGTATATTATATTTCAGTTGTAGATACAAATAGTACCTGATGGGATCTTTATTTAAATAGGAATTCTTTATGAATGATGTTTACCTTTATTCTTAACCATTAGCCGCCCGGCCAATTTCCATTTGGCGGCCGGCAAAATCCTTCAGCGTTCCGGGTGGATGCCATATGGCGTCCTCCTGGGCATGCACAGTTTGCGCGCCTGCAGAGCCACGCAGTGGCGTGATCTGTCACCGGCCGTGTACCTCAGACACGGCCTATGACAGATCTGAGTACCGGCCCCCGTGGCCGGTACCATGTGACCTGCTGTGACCAATCACAGCAGGTCACATGACAGTTATATACAATGGATGGCTTCATTCATGCCATCCATTGTATACTAGTGTCTAGCTGTGAATGGTCACAGCGATCACATGCACAAGCTGAGCCAATCACAGCCCAGCTGTGTCATGTGGTTAGCCGTGGCCAAATCACAGCTAAGCATGAAAAAAAAAAAACCTGAATGAATCGATGTCATTCAGGTAAATGCTTGCTTATAGCAAAGAAATTCTTTGCTATAAGCAAATTGTGTAAAAAAAAAAAAAAAACTGTGGTAACATTTTACTACTTTGGTCATAGTGAAATATGAAAAATGAAAAAAAAAAATCTTAAAAAAAAGAAAACAAATGTAATAAAAAGTTTAAAATAATTAAAAAAAAAAAAAAACATTATATATTTTTTTTTATACTGTCACCAGTCAGTGTCCTTGATCACCGCAATGCCAGTTATATGATGACGCTGTACTGCACTGGTGACAGTATGTAAAAAAAAAAGTGAAAATAATTCTTAAAATTTTTTCATTTACCGAAAAATTACAAAAAATACAACTTCAAAAAACTCGCCATGCCTCTTATGAAATACGTCGGACTGTCTACTTTGCAAAAAGGGGTCATTTGGGGATATCTGTACTGTTCTGACATTCTTGGACCTCAAGAAATTAGATTGGCTGTCAGAACTTCAGGATTGATCAATATTCAGATCTATACCATAGTTTGTAAACTCTATAAATTTCCTACAAACTAAAAAATACATCCTAATTTGGGTTATTTTCACCAAAGACAAGTAGTAGAATACATTTTGGCCTAAATTTATAAAGAACAATTATTTATTTGCAAACTTTTATAACAGAAACCAAGAAAAACGTGTTTTTTCAAGATTTTTGTTTTTTTTTGTTAATTTAGCAAGAAATTAAAACCCCAGTGGTGATTAAATACCACCAAAAGAAAGCTCTAGTTGTGTGCAGAAAATTATAAAATTTTAGTTTGGGTACAATGTTGTATGACCGCGAAATTGTCATTCAAATGTGAGAGCGCTGAAACCTGAAAAATGGCCTGGGCAGGAAGGGGGTAAAAGTGCCCTGTATGGAAGAGGTTAAAGCAAGCCTGTGTTTTAGCAAAATGCTATAATGTAAGAGGTTCTACTCATACATGCATTTCTAGTTCTGCTGGGGCACCCCAGTGTATGAGATGAGAAGGAAAAACCTATGCAAATACAGACTTTCTGAAAGTCAACAATTGCATAGGACTTTGCCAGGACTCTAGTATTAGTTTACAGAAATGCTGCAGGCATGAATGTGCTCCTTCTAGTGCATACTATGCATCCTACATACAGAAATGACCCTCACGTGGGCTCCTTGAAGTATAGATATAGTTCCCAGATGTTTCTATCATATCTGTGCATGTGACCCTGTTTATATTTTGGATAATGATGTTTTACCTATATTATTAATTTGACACTCTAAACATTATCACTTTTGTTTATTGTCAGATTTGACATGATAAAACAGTTGCTTTGCCCCTTCTTTTGTAGTGTGGAATAAGCTTAGCACTTATGAATACATAATGCACCAGCGGCAGAAGCAGGAAATGAAATCCAATAACAAGTGTCTAGAAGAGGGGAAGACGCCACCCACAGGCCGTGCACAAGTAAGTGTGAACAGCCACTGAGCAGCCTGCTACATTTTCTGGATTTTCCCTTAATCCAGCACGAGGTCCTGCCCATTATATTATGACAGGGCTTGACAAATTCTTTGAATCCAGGAGCCAGCTCAAAAAGTTAGGAGCCAGTTTTTTTTACCGTAGCGTGGGTTGTCCATGTCTGGGACTTCACGCGATGCAATTTGCCACATGACGATCACAGTAAAACCGCACCACATTTTAGGCACCACTGATAAGAACGGCATCCGGACCTGTGGTTTGCGATCACAGCGATTCTGCTGCGATCCCAAAACGCCCAGGTGTGAATGGAACCTCCCTAGTTCACACATATGCGATTCTGGATTCATTTTGAAACTCACAGATTCATATAATAAGCTAGATATTTTCTGTTCCTATTGAAGTGGTGCACACAGATGCGATCCACACACACGTGTTTTGACTGCCATTTTGAAAAGGGTTCTGTGAGTTTGTGGCGGTGCATTCCAGACTCACAAGTGATAGAGTAGAGTGGCATGCAGAGATAAGTGTTCGCATTGGATTGCTATTGACAGGAGTTTTTGCATTGAAGTCTATGGGAGGCGTTTTTCGTATTGAAGTCTATGGGAGGTATTTTCACGTTTGAAGTCTATGGGAGACGTTTTTGTCTTGATGTCTATGGTAGGGGTTTTCGCATTGAAGTCTATGGTAGGGATTTTCACATTGAAGGCTATGGTAGGGGTTTTTTCGCATTGAAGTCTATGGTAGGGGATTTCGCATTGAAATCTATGGTAGGGGTTTTCGCATTGAAGGCTATGGTAGGGGTTTTCGCATTGAAGGCTATGGTAGGGGTTTTCGCATTGAAGGCTATGGTAGGGGTTTTCGCATTGAAGGCTATGGTAGGGGTTTTCGCATTGAAGGCTATGGTAGGGGTTTTTGCATTGAAGGCTATGGTAGGGGTTTTCGCATTGAAGGCTATGGTAGGGGTTTTCAAATTGAAGTCTATGGTAGGGGTTTTCGCATTGAAGGCTATGGTAGGGGTTTTCGCATTGAAGTCTATGGTAGGGGTTTTTGCATTGAAGGCTATGGTAGGCGACTTCCCATAGAAGTCTATGGGAGGCGCTTCCCGTAGAAGTCTATGGGGGGGGGGGGCGACTTCCCATAGAAGTCTATGGGGGGGCAACTTCCCATAGAAGTCTATGGGGGGGCAACTTCCCGTAGAAGTCTATGGGGGGCGACTTCCCGTAGAAGTCTATGGGGGGGCGACTTCCCGTAGAAGTCTATGGGGGGGCGACTTCCCGTAGAAGTCTATGGGGGGGCGACTTCCCGTAGAAGTCTGGGGGGGGGGCGACTTCCCGTAGAAGTCTGGGGGGGGCGACTTCCCGTAGAAGTCTGGGGGGGGCGACTTCCCGTAGAAGTCTGGGGGGGGGGGCGACTTCCCGTAGAAGTCTGGGGGGGGCGACTTCCCGTAGAAGTCTGGGGGGGGCGACTTCCCGTAGAAGTCTATGGGGGGGGCGACTTCCCGTAGAAGTCTATGGGGGGGGGGCGACTTCCCGTAGAAGTCTGTGGGGGGGGAGCGACTTCCCATAGAAGTCTGTGGGGGGGGGGAACGACTTCTCGTAGAGGTCTGTGGGGGGGGGGGGGACGACTTCTCGTAGAGGTCTGTGGGGCGGGGGGGGGGGGGGAACAACTTCTCGTAGAAGTCTGTTGGGGGGGAACAACTTCTCGCAGAAGTCTGTGGGGGGGGGGAAACGACTTCCCGTAGAAGTCTGGGGGGGCGACTTCCCGTAGAAGTCTGTGGGGCGGGAGGGGGAACGACTTCTCGTAGAAGTCTGTGGGGTGAGGTTGACGACTTCTCGTAGAAGTCTGTTGGGGGGGAACGACTTCTCGTCGAAGTCTGTTGGGGGGGGAACGACTTCTCGTCGAAGTCTGTGGGGGGGAACGACTTCTCGTAGAAGTCTGTGGGGGGGAACGACTTCTCGTAGAAGTCTGTGGGGGGGGGGGGGAACGACTTCTCGTAGAAGTCTGTGGGGGGGGGGGGGAACGACTTCTCGTAGAAGTCTGTGGGGGGGGGGGGGGAACGACTTCTCGTAGAAGTCTGTGGGCGGGGGAAATGACTTCTCGTAGAAGTCTGTGGGGGGTAAAACGACTTCCCGTAATAGTCTATGGGGGGGCACTTCCCGTAGAAGCTTATGGGGGGCGAATTGCCGTAGAAGTCTATGGGGGGGGGGCGACTTCCCACCGAAGTCTATGGGGAGGGGGTGGGCGGCTTCCCATAGAAGGAACCACAGGGTGCATCTGTGGACTTTTTTTTCCTGTTCATCCAAGTAACAAATTTGCTTTCCTGTTCCAACTACAAGTGCATAGTAAGAGGAAGAGCTAGCTACTATGGCTGAACAGTGTAGCAGTGGTTCCTATTTCGTCAGGCTCTGCTACATATTTAAAGTAGCCAAACACTAGGAATCCTGAACTATGAACTGTGTACAGAAGGGCAAGATATCAGGACACTCTCCCTGAGACCATTTCACACGGTCTTGAAGTGGACTTTGCACTAAAATGCAAGGTTGGCTCATTACATATAGACCCATGCTCCCTTGTCAAAAACTGTAACTTATATTATAGACTTCCATCTGCAACACCTGCACAAGGGTGACATCACAATCCTCCGAGTGAGATACTGGGAATGATAAGGATCCCAGATCTCCTAAAAACACGTTCCAACAAAGTGTAGGAATATTTTGACATCACCCTCTTTAGTGCTGAATTTTGGTATAAGATTTGTACCTTTTTTCTCAGTTTTTTTGCAGGCATAATGCAGTATTTTGACATTTGGGGGTGGAGCAGGTATGTGGGAACCAAACTATGCTTTTTAGAGCAAAGTCTGCTTTAAATGCACAACGGCAGATCTATGGCCTCTAGATACCTCATGTTTCACTATTAACCCAATATTACTTTCCCAAGTCATCTTCCAGGACAGCTTCACATGAGAGATAGTCTCCTCCCACCAGGAAACACCTGATCCACTTTTTCTTAACAAATAGCTTCTCCGCCCCTGGGATTTTCAGTATTTGTTTTTCTTCCGGCCAGGAACTACCCCTGTTTGTTGCTGTCTGGCGGGGTACAGAGGCCTCATGGATGAGGCTACCCCCTTTACTAAGCAAGGCAGGGGCCTTGCGTGGTGGCCTCATTTGGGGTTCACAGACATCTCCTTTCTGGGGCAGAATTAGGGGAGACAGTGCCCCTCTTTCTGCGCCCATCTGTGGTCTTGCAGGGCTCAACAGGGTGAAGGAGCCTGCTTTACCAATCTGAGGGGCCACTACCCTGTGGGGCAAAACCTACCTTCCTCCACTGCTCGCCAACATCTCTGCCCCAGGCACTGGCAGAGTGTGGGATGATGAGGTCACGCTGAAGCGCCAACTGGAACGTCCGTTCCGGGCACCAGGACCTGTGAGCATCACTTTCGGCGCTCGGGGAACAAGAAAAGGACCAACGCCATCTTGGATATGGAAGGCGGTCTACAAGCTTGCCCCACGCCAAGGCTGTCTCCATCCACTGTGGCCGTGAGGGGAGGTCGGCACAATCGGACCCTGGGGAGGGTGGAGCTCCATCACCCTTCAAACACCACCGCCGCCGAGCCAAGGTAGGAACCAGTCGGCTGGCAAGACCCCTCTGTATCCTTTTTGGTTTCCTCCTGCTTCCTGTCACTCGGAGGGGGGGTCCGCATTCTCTCTCCCCCCCCTCTCCCTCTCTTTCTCTCTCTTCCCCCCCTCTCCCTCTCTATCTCTCTCTCTCAGCACCACATGGGGGTCTCTATTTCTACTTTTGTGGGTGCACTCCTGGGTGGCCTCCTAGAAGCCAAAGAACAAAAGGTATACCACTCAGGCAAACAATCCAGATCGATCCACAACAGGTGCAGGCTCTGGCTCGCCACCACACACGATGCAATAGGAAGAAGGGTCAGCCGCACACCGGAGGATTGATGATGATAGTGTGTATTTATTGATCCATAGGACACAAAACACCAGGACATAAATACAGGACTTAACGCGTTTCACATGATCTCGTATCCTGAGGGTACCTGTACTAATATCCTTTCTTGTTGTTCTTTGAGATCATTACTTTTGATACAATGGTTTTATATGTCTTGTTACAATGTATTAGTAGGCATACCCTCAGGATTCAGGAGTGCTGATTAGGACAGGTGTTCTTTATTAACTAATATAACCTATATAAGACAGCACTTTTGTTGTTTTCTTTGTTCTGATTAAGCACGAGATCGTGTAAAACGCGTTAACAAGTCCTGTATTTATGTCCTGGTGTTTTGTGTGTCCTATGGATCAATAAATACACACTATATTCATCAATCCTCCAGTGTGCTGCTGACCCTTCTTCCTTTGGCCTCTTAGGAGCCCTCGGCTTACAGGGGGCCTATATTTTTTGTCCCCTGTTCTTAGATGGGCCCACTGGAGGAGGATAGGAAGGAGAAGGGGGCTCCTTGTGAGATGAGGAAGAACTGCACTACTTGCAAGAAAATACTTGCTAGCTCTTGGAAAAAGCAGCAGTGCCAAGAGTACATTGACAAGCTGGTCAAGAAAGAGTCAGGGTCCCAAAATTTTAGGGACCAGATGCAGGAACTGGCCCCAGATGATCCTCAACCCGGCACCTAAGGCTTCTTCCTACTGGCTAAGAAGAGGAAACAGGACCAGGGCACCATTACGGATCAGGAAGGGAATACAGAGGGCCTCTTGAAAGTTAATTTTCGACACTCTAGACTTAAAAGAAGAACAACTATTTTAACCCTTGGAAAAATGTTCTCTCAGGTACTTAACCCTCAAAACCACTCTATTAGTAGCCCTAGTCTCGGCTCGCAGAGTCAGAAAATTGCAAGCACTGTCGGTGATAGAGCCTTTACTGTACAATCTTGATGGATAGGATTATCCTCCAGATGGACCTTTGCGGGAGCCCAAGCAATGCCAAAGAAAGAGACTACAACAAAATCGATGTAAAAAGATGCGTAATCGCATACATAGAGCGCACTAAAGCATGGAGGTGCTGGTCCAGCCTTTTCGTCTTATTACAAGGACCATGGAAAGGTTACACGGCCTCTAAAGGCACCATCGCAAGATGGCTAAAGGAAGCCATCTCAGAGGGATACAAAACCGTGACACTGACGCCACCATCTGGTTTGAAAGCACATTCAACTAGGGCTACCGCAGCTACGTGGGCAGAGAAATCTGGCGCCTCCCCCAGCCAGATCTGCAAGACCGCAACATGGTCCAGCTTTAGCACATTTGCCAGGCACTACCGGTTAGACCTGATCGTGAACAAGGATCAGGCATTTGGCAGAAAGGTCTTGCAAGTGGCAGTCCCACCCTAACGTACGTATTCCTATTCAATCCTCTCATGTGAAGTTGTCCTGGAAGATGACTAGGGAAAACGCAGTTATTTACCTGTTAACTGTATTTCCAGGAATCTTCCAGGACAGCGTAGCTCATTCCTGATTGATGTATAATCATAAGCTGGCGTTCCGTCATACAATGGACTAGACATATGTTGTTCCTACTGTTGTGTTTGTGTTTTATCTTAGACATTCGGTTATATTACTATACTTAGGATCTCAGGGCCGGAGAGGCTATTGATTAAGGAAAAGTGGATCAGGTGTTTCCTGGTGGGAGGACCCTATCTCTCATGTGAAGCTGTTCTGGAAGATTCCTGGAAATACAGTTAACAGGTAAATAACTGCATTTTTAGGGGTATAATGGTTCTCCAAGTTCACTTTCTGCTTTGTTCTTCAGGAGGAGAGTTATGGAGGAAGCCTCATATATACAAATCCTGATGTACTGATTGAGGGTCCTTCATCGGGATCACTGAACACTGAGTGAGTGAAAATGAAACACTGCATGTAATTTAGAAATGTAAAAAAAAGAATGTGCTTATGTGTGCATAAGGCATATCCACCTACTGAAAGTGTCTTTCTAAATTCCTTTCTGGTCCGTTTTTAATTACTTTTTTTCCTAAACAAGGGGAAGGAGACTTTGCTGCAATGCACGATTCCACTTAAATGTTAGCATTTTTTCAATCCTTTCCCTTTTTTTTCTCGTTCGAAAACTGTAGCATGCTGCACATTTAAACACACATATTTTGTTTAGCTGCCCTGTAGAACAGCATATTTTATATAGGGTTTCTTTATATTGTGAGTTGCAATGACCAGTGACATTTGTAGTAAAGAAAAGAGGCTAGAAAGGATGTGAAGGCTTACCACAGATCTTCATTTTTTATTATCCTCTTTCTGAACATGTATAATTTATTATAAGGAGTCCCTCCTGCTTAGGATCAGGTATTGGATATAATATGGCAACTTTTTAACCAACAACAAAGTTACAATTTCATTAAATTTCTATTTTCTAGCTCTCCAATGTCCTTAAATGCTGACATTGCAGATGGCAACCCTGACTCTGACCATAAGCTATCACCAGCTTTACAGCAGAAGCCAAAGAAGGTAACAATTATTTTCTTGTCTCTCTTAGATCTCAGCCATTATTCCTTATGTACCCTTCAACAGGAATGATGGATAAACGATACTGTTAGATGCATGTAGACATATTCGATCTTATCTATGCGGGTTGAGATAAGGGGGAGTGGATGCAGCTCAAGACCAGCCCGGGAAATCCAGCGTTTTGTATGTGTGGAGTGGCCTCAGCCCCTCCTTGGGCTGGTCTTGAGCAGCATCCGCTTCCCCCCCCATATCTCATCCCAGACACTGGAACGGACTAAGGACGCTGCTCCTTTCATTCACATGCCGGTGGGTTGATCCTTTCTGCTTATCTGGCTTTGGAGCGACGCCAGTAAGCTTTACTTATTATCCATGTGAGTGTTATTACTAGATGCTTCTGAATGTCTTTTATCAGAAGATGTTATATTGCACGCATTCGTTTGCATATAAGAGCAACTTGTATTGTTCTGTGCAACAAATTGGCAGGGGCAGAATCACCAAAATAAGGGAATCATTTCCCCTAATGGAACTGCACCCTCATTGTCCTGGAATGGTGAAGAACTTGGCTGGACTGGCTTGAAGGACATGACTATATAGGGAAAGGTAAGTGACTTACTGGCAATCCCGTTGCTGAAAAGTTGCCACTAGCAGAAGGACTGTCTTCCGACATCCCTTGTAAGAGCAAACACTAATAGGTGTTTGTGATCAAATGTATTAACCCAGTAAAAACGTATTCTGCGCTTTTCTATGATTTAGTTTAATATTGTTCCTTGGGCCTGACTTCTCTGATGCCAAACCTGAACACGAACTACCATTCTAGTATCCAACCCATACCTGATCAATAAGGGCACTTTGATTTTTACAGTTGCACGATAGTTGGTTTAGCCATCAAGTCTGGGAGTTATGGCCCTGTTACAAAGTGAAACTAAATTAGAGAAGGCAAATGAGTCTCTTTTGACTAACAAAGGTAACAAAAGGCATCTTGTAGTAGCTTTATGTAGGTAGGAGATCTGCTTTTTAAAGTGTAACATTCAGTAGGGTTCACTTAAGGAAGAACTCCGGGCAAATGTTTTTCTCATGCAGTGGGGCTGTGTCCACACTGCATGGGTTAACTGCTCGTTTTGTCCAGGGGTACAAGGAAAAGCTGCTTACCTGATCCTTCGATCCTCTGGGAAACTGAGCTCCCCCATGCCCAACATCCAGTGGTGGGCTCTCCCTGCCGCCCTCATGGCCAGAGCTCTTCTAATATATTTATGCATATAAATCGCATTTCTATAAATTTGCTATTCATAGTAGATTTCCTTTAGTAACTTTTGTTAGTTCACATGGTATGGCTTTACTTTGTGTAGAATTATTATATTATTATTGATTCAAATATCAGATGGCAAGAGAGAGCATTGTAAGACTAAATTCCACTAACCAGAATAATTCACATCGAGGTTTTGTTTGTAATTGAGAAAAAAAGAAAGGAATACCTATGGAGCATTTCCTACGCTGTAGCCAACAAGTTCCCATCCTCTAAAATGAGATAATTGTCTTTAGAGACTGACGTGTTCATTTATTATTTATGATTTATTCAGGGTACAGTAGATTAAAGATGAAATTGCCAATGGAAAACAAAAGGGGAGACTTTAGCTGGCCATACACTTATCAAAATATGACCGGTCCAACAGGCAAATTTCAATAAGTGTGTGGCTGTCCCCACTCAACATAAACCAGTCCTATGATTGACTTCTGTCGAATGCACATGCTGGAACTTTTTTCTCAATCAGCCAATGGGCAGTGGTCACGCATCTGTGAATTCTGATAGCTGTGGGTTCCACTGTCAGAATACAGTGTCCCAGTGGGGTTTATTCCTCCAGCCACTTCATGTGCATGAACGGAGGAATCTTCATTTTTTTTTTTCCTTCAGTCCGCTGGCTGAAGGAAAAAGAACTAACAATGCATAGCCAACTTTTGGTGGTTGTCATATCTATTGAAAAAAGCATATTGCACTTTTCGTTTTCTTGTGTCTAATTTGTTAGATAAATAAGTGTTTTTCTTTTTTTTTTTATAATTATTTGTTGACTGGATTAACAAGATTTTTTAATAGTTACAGCAATACCCTAAGTCTCCCCTATTGTTTTCCCTTGCCTATTTGTTTATTGGAGTTGTTTTTTTTTCATTCTATTTTGTGATTTTTTATTGTGGGGATCTCTCTTGTGGAGCCTTTAATTCTCTTGATTAACATTAAAGAGGAACCTCACTCCACCAACTCCCCCATTTTTTACCCTCATACCTGTCATCCAGGGCTGTTCTCAGTTCACATATGCCCTGTTGTTATCTGCTGCTCAGGCACCACAGCCCAGGTCCTGCATCATCATCTTTTGTCATAAAGGGGAGGGAGGAATGCAGGGAGTGAAAGTAGCTTCTGGGAGTAAAGGCCTCTTGTTACCAATTATTGGATCTTTAAATGGATGACTGAATACTCCTTTGCTTTTAAGTTCACTTTATTTCTTCAGTGCATAAAAAATTTGAGTATAATTGATTTTTTTATTGCCTGTAGAAGAAGAAGAAGAAAAAGAAGAAAAGCAACAAAATATCTCCTGAAGATGCAAACAAACATGCTGGTCATGATGGGCCTGGCCTCTGTGTCCTTCCAGTTCATGAGGAGAATGGTATGGCAGATAAGCAGCTTAGGGCTTCATTTATCTGATACAACATTTGTGTTGGCATAATAGCTAATTGGACCCAAACTTGTGAGAGTGGAGATTTAATATAATAGAAGAAATTACTATCTTGCTACAAGGGGTGTTCAAGTCAAACCGGGACTTTTCCGTTTATATAATAAAAGAACAAATTTCAAGAAGTGGAAACATTTTATTTTTTGATGTACTCCCCTGCTACATCTATACAATTATTCCAGTGCTTAACTAATGCCTGGAAAGCTTTGGCATAGAAAGATTCGACATTACGCCTGAACCATACTGGGACAGACTGCTTCACTTCATCAATGCTCAAATGCTGACCTCCAAGGAACTCTTTTATGGGTCCACACAGGTGGAAATCACTCGGAGTGAGGTCCGGGCTGTACCTCCCAGCCGAGTTGCTGTAATGTGCACGTAGTGAGCTTGTGCGTTGTCCTGGAGAAACAGGATGCCCTTAGTGATCAAACCAGGCGGACGTATGCACATCACTCAGAAGCGGTCAAAAGCGAAAAGCTGTCTTTGTATCCAGCGTGCGCTAACTTTTCAAAAATGCAAATGTTCATGAAATATTGTGTTTATCGTTCCCACAGAAAGATTCCTCTCTTGTGCAGTTTCATGGCATCGATTATCCAGGATCAGGCGTTCCATGCGCTGAATGTTCACATGAATGACTGCTGTGGGCTGGGAATCACCACAGCCTGTATCATCACTGACGGAAGTACGGCCATCTTTGAAACATTTACACCATTCAAATGTCTTACTGCAGCTGAGAATCTCATCACTGTACTATGTTTGAAGTCTCCTGTAGATATACATGGGTTTTAAACATTCATTCACAAGGAACTTCATCACCACATGCTGTTCCATGCACGCACTAACACTGTTGTCTGCCATCTTGATTCACAGTCTCTGGACTGGCCTGCGACACGTTCGCCGCTTATCAGTTATGGACACACTCGCCACTTACATTAGCATTCTCTTTTTATACCTGTAAAATTAAAATTCCCGGTTTGACTTGAACTCCCCTTATATTTTGATGTAGGGTGTGGATAGTAGATTGCTATTGAGTGTGTGGACAGAAGGTTGCTTGAAGGTAATGTACCTTTTCAGATTATATCACTTGCAGTTGTTTTCTACATGGTTTCTCTGCAGGGCCTCTGTGTTAGTTCTTAAAGCCGAACTAAATTCTATTAAACTTACCCTCCCTCACCGTTTAGTGTCTTCGACCATATTGATTAGCCAGCCCAGGATGACATAACTTCTGTGTATGTGCATGGGAATCATTTAGCCCTGTACTAGGCATGCCAAGAGTGTACAGCTAGCTGTGCATTCACTGCTCCGTGCAAATGTAGAAGAAACATTGCTGGCAGGCAGAGGAAGAGCTTTTATGGCAAGCCTCTTCGGCGGTAGAAGTCTACTTACCAGCAATGGTTCACTCTAATGGTTATAGTTCCACTTGAAGAATGAAAATTTTATTGATCCAGTTGCAATTCATCCTCAAATTTCACAGCAGAAGAGCAGAAGCCATTCTCTCAGCAGTTTAGCTCCTTCCCCTACCCTTTCTAGAGCACCTGTTCTGTAATACTCATTAGAGATTAGAATCTTGGGAGGCTGCTTAGTCACTGTTGGAAAGGGAGAGCAGAGTGCAAGGACTTGAATTACTTCCGTGTCTCTGCTATGTATTTGGAGGCTGAATCGCCTCACAGTGCCATCAGCTAAAGAGGTCAGTGGCTGCTTGTTTAAAGCTCAGATGCTGCTTTTTGGGAATAAATAAATATCTGGATGTCCATAGCCTGACCACATATTTCATATGCTTGGTAAAAGCTTGCTGCACACATTGTGTAAAATGGTAACATTTCCTAGGTGTATAATGCTAAGATTTCCCCTATTAAAGCATTATTGAAAGCAAATATATATTTTCATGGATCCCTTGCTGGCACCTGTACAACACTGTATATCCACTTGACCCTTGGGAAGATTTGCAGGATGGACTCCACTTCTGTATGTACTCGCCTTCCTGCCTGCCCCTTTTCAACTCAGCAGGGAAGAGAGTGGGAGATACTGCTGGTCTAGAGGGGGAGCGGTAGCTTCCCAACCTTTCATATTTCCCTGCTTCGAGCTAAGTAACTGCGGCAGGCAGGCAGGAGAGTACATACAGAAGAGGAGTCCAACTTGCCATTCTTCCAGCCCTCTTTCTTGCTGTGAGTTCAACAGCAGCTGTGGCAGGCAAGTACACACAGAAGAGGAGTCCACCCTGCCATTCCTTCCGCCCTCTGCAATGCTCTTTTAAGGTATTACTGAAGGAGAAAGATTATGGGAGGCTGTGAAGTGAGAGGGTAAAGCTGCGATATGGGGGGGGCTCTGATGTGAGAGGGAGAAGCTGTGATATGAGGGGCTATGATGTGAGAAGAGGGAGCTGTGATGGGGGGCTATAATGTGAGATGGGGGGGCTGTATTTTGAGAAGGGGGAGCTGTGATGCAAGGGGGTTGTGATATATGGATATGGGGAATGTGATATGAGAGGGGGCAGCTGTGATATGGGGGGAGCTGTAATGTGAGAGGGAGAGCTATGATGATGGGGGAAGGGGGCTGTGATGTGAGATGGGGTACTGTGACGTGAGGAGGGACAGCTGTGATATCAGGGCTGTGATGTGAGAGTGGACAGCTGTGATGTGAGAGGAGGGCGCTGTGATATGAAGGGTCTGAGATGTCTGGGGGGCTATGATGTGAAAGGGGGTTGTAATGTAAGGGGGGCTGTGTTGTGAGGAGGGGGGGGGGGGGGCTGTGATGTGAAAGAGGGTTGCAATGTGAAAGAGGGGACAGAGGACACTGATGTAAGGGGAGCTGTGATGTAAATGGGACTGTGATGTGACAGACATGAGTCATAGAACAAAAATGAGATTTGGACCTCTGCAGAAAGAAAATGTTACCAACCAGACCTCTGTGAATTTTAATTTAGTACCCCTGCTCTAAAGCAACAAAACTGAATGAACGTTCTGCAAACAAACAAAAAGCAGAGGAGAGCCCAGTCATGTGACCTGTCAAACTCACAAGACTGGCTGCCCTCCAAACACAGAGCTCTCTCTGTTGAGCAGAGACACACTGCAGCCCCATTTTTATAAGCATGTTTTTTAGCAATAGGATGGGCCATTATAGCGAAATTCGTTCTGTTACAAACTAGCCCCTTAGTGGTGTTGACTACTTAAGATGGTGAGAAGATACTTTCATTTTCTAATTTTCCCCCTATAAATAAGGCAACTTTGTTTCTATATGCAGGATCCTGACCAAGAGTGCCAACATAAGAGGGTGTGGTTGGATGTACACTTAACTGTAGTGATAATATATTGCCATTTTAATGCACTTGTGTAATATGTTCTAAATATAAACATCATTTTTTCTATTTTTCAGAACTTCCAGTCTCACCAGCACCTCCAAGCTTGGCCAGTAATTCCCCAAATGTCCCAGCACGATCTTTACCAGTTTTGGCTCCCATCCATCCGATTCAGGCAGCAGGACCTCCTGCAGAATATCATTCTGACTCTGCTGAGTCTATGGAGGAAATTCCTGTTGCACAAACTCATCTTGGCAGCTCCTCTATGAGTGAAAACCTCTTTCTTACTCCGAGGAGTCCCAGAGACTTCGCAAATGAATGTGAGCATGGACTGAGGCAGAGCTGGCCTGTGACTGCACAGAAGTTTGAGCTTCTTCCAAAGGTTCCCACTGTTTTTGTCAGTGAGAGCAGCGGACCATTACACATTTTATAATGAAAGCAGCTTATGGATAAAGGGGTTAAGTAGTTGTTAACTTTTCTGTTAATTGGATCTTTTTAGTAATTCTACTGTTACACAATCCAAATCTTGACATCAGAGCATACAGAAACAATATCATTTTTCATAAAATACTCAACCACAATTTTCAATATAAAGTGTCCTGAGTATACTCCTGTCAGTTGGCTTTGCTTTGACTGAGATGCACTATATTGCCTAACGTATTGGGACAACCCCTCCAAATCATATGATTTCAGGTGTTCCAATCACATCCATGGCCACAACAGTGTATAAAAACCTCCAAACTTCTGTGGCCTTTCAGAATTAGCTACAACAGACCGTGCATAGAGAGCTTCATGGATTCGGGTTTCCATGGACGAGCAGCTTGCACATCCAAGCCTAACTTCACCAAGTGCCAATGCAAAGCGTTGGATATGCAGTGGTGTAAATGCACACAACAACTGGACTCTTGAGCAGTGGAGACGTGGTTTCTCTGGAGTGACAAATCACAACTTCTCTGTGGCGGTTGCCAGGAGGAATGGTACTTGCATGACTGCATTGTACCAAGTGTATAGTTTGGTGGGGGGGATTTATGGTGGTGGGGTTGATTTACAGGAGCTGGGCCTTGGCACCTTTAAGTCCAGTGAAGGGAAACTCTTAAGTGGTCCGCCATACCAAGACATTTTGGACAATATCATGCTCCCAGAACTTGTGTGGGAAACCGTTTTGGGATGCGTCTCCTTCCTGTTCCAACCATACTGAGCCAAAAATGAGCAAAGACCTAAAATAAAAGATGGTTTTTTAAATAACACAACAGCAAGGTCCATAATAGACCCGTGGATGAGCAAGGTTTGGGGTGGAGGAAACGTTGACTGGCCTGCACAGAGTCCTGACCTCGAAACTGAAGATTGAACTCCTTTGGGAGGATGAATTAGAGTGGAAGTACTGCAAGCCTGGGCCTTTTGGCTGATCTATCAGGAGTGCCTGACCTCACAAATGCGCTTCTCGGAAGAAATGGTCTAAACATTCCCGATAGACACCACTCCTAAACCTTGTGGACAGCCTTCCCAGAAGAGTTGACGCTGTTATAGCTGTAGAAGGGTGGGCCTTGACTGGCGATGCATTAAAGTTCCATGTGCGTGTAAAGGCAAGGCATCCCAATACTTTTTGGGCAATTTATTGTAATGTTTTATGTCTGCTGCAGGCTAAGAGGAAGCATTTCCTGCAGGCTCCTCTTTCCCCAGGGAGGAAGACTGCAACTCTAACGTTGTAGACGTTCAAGGGTGAGATGCAGCAAGGACAGCAGGGAACAATATCAGTGTGTAGACATTTGTGACGCACAGCCAAGAATTGCAACAGGCACAGCCAGCATGGTCAGAAAAAGGCAGGAAGTAGATGTTTAGATCCTGGATGATGTCCTGAACAAAGGGGAATACAATGATCCCTGTAAGAGGTAATACATATTCTGTGAGTGTTGTAACATTACTTAGCATGCACACACTTAACATGCAAAATATATCTGATGCTAGGTCTTTCCTTACAAAATCAGAATCTATTATAACTATTTTTTACCGTTTTCGATCCAGTAGGCAGAGCAACACTCATTTTCACGTTGTTGGTCCCTTTAATTGTTTGCACCCATATGTCGCCTTACTTCATAATGGACTTACCCAGCACAACATAACACGAGTTGTACACTGAAGGCTTTGTGGGTAAATATCATTTTACAGTTTTCATAGGGCATGTATTTTGACAAAGCGTGGAGATAGAAACAGTAATAGAGCTACACAAATGTTGTGTTGTATATGGTGGGCCACAATGGCTCCAATTACAAGCACAAGTATACTTTTTTAGATAAATCAAGACTTTTAAACCATGAATTTCAACTTTCAAATGCCGCTTAACATAACTGTCCTTTTCTTTAACCATTGTAAGCTTCTTCATAATTCAGGATCAAATTCACAATAAATTTACAAACAACACATACTATGGAGGCCACATGCACCATCAAATTTATTTGCTGTTTCCCGAGTATCTACTGCACCTGCAGTATCTACTGAGGATCTCAAATCTATAAATTTCAACATTACCAAGTACAACGCCTTGAACATTATTGTCACACCTTTAACATTTCCAGCCCTCAGGGGTACTGAGCAAGCATATATAAAAACCAACGATTAATATGGTAGTATATGCGTAGTCACTGTTTTCATTTTACTCAGTTGTTTCCCTAAAGTTGTGGGGGTGTGTGTCTACTGAGCATCCAGGAAGTTTGGAGAATCGCACAAACTATTTTGCAGTTCAGTCCATGGGGCACCCTTTGGAAATTTTTACAACACTTTTTCTCGCTTAACTCTATTATGAACTAACAAGCACAGTTTAACACAGGAGAACACCGAGGGGTTGAGGGTAACAAGTTTATTTGTATAGACCACACATGGCTACAAGGCAGTATACTTTTAAAATATGATCACTTGAGGCGCGCGCATGAATTTCAACTTACAAGTAGCCCTTAGACATGAATTGCAGCCCTTTTAAAATTGGTTAGCTTATTCATTAAGTCTGTAAATTAAGCAAAAAATTACAACCAACAATACTATGGAAGAACATGCTATGGGTCAATATTTCATTTGTTCAGTGTTTTCCTAAGGTGTGGCAGTTTATCTACTTGATGGTCAAAGCATGTTTGGGGCATCAGCAGTGATAGATCTGGGGACCTGACGTGAATTGACAAGGACATCAGTTAAAGTGTGATGAGGAGGGATAAGATAAAAGTATTGGGGACTTTTTTTTACCTTAAGTGCGTGTGTATGCATTAAGGTAAAAAACAGGGATGATTTTTAAAAATAATTAGAATATCTGATACCTGCAGTTCATTTTTAATTGTTCATCTGCATCCACACTTGGTAATGGTTTAGAGCAATGTGGTTCTCAACCTTCCTAATGCCGTGACCCTGTTTAAATACAGTTTCCTCATGTTTGTGGTGAACCCCAACCGATAAAATTATTTACACAGTAATTTATATATTTTTTCATGAGTGTCGTTTTACCTCCAAGAACTGGCTGCTTTCTAGACAAGGTAAGCTGCTTGTAACAGCAGTAAGCTGCTGTGCAACACAGCATGCTGCTTTCTAGCAACAGTAGCTGCTTCTTTTACACATCGAAAATATGTGTTTTTCTGATGCTCTTAGGGGAACACCTGTGGAAGGGTCGTTCCGATCCCGCCAATGGCGGTCGCGAGCCCACAGGTTGATGAACGCACTGGTTAAGATAGGATATGAATAGTAGTTGTCTACATTTATTTTCGTTATCATATTTTTTCATGTTCATGAATTAAATGAAAGAAATATCTGTCTGGGTAAATAATGCTCATCACATGAACACAGTGGTCTACTCGGGTAATGGCGTTCCACTTCTGAGGCATAACTCTTCTCCCCCCACCCCGCCCCCACCCTCACTCAGCCCTACCCAGACTCAGCTAAGCCTCTGGTTTTTAGTTTGGGGCGTGTTCCTAGGTGATGGTTGTGCATACAGCTGTATCTCTGAAGATCTCCTTTTCAAGGCTTATGTTCCTGATTTTCTAGCGTATGGTCCTACCCCCTGCCACATGCTCATTTTGTAGAAAACAGTTCCAAACTGTTGCTGCACAGATACAGCAGCCTCTTCGTTGACACACAGTACTTGTCTGTCTTGGGGCGACTTGCAATATAGCTGTTCTGGCTGAGTGATGACATTTCCGCTCAGTTTGAGGTGTGGCCGATTCCTTTACTGGAATTTACAGGCCTATTCTCACGCCTCGATGCATTCCATGGCATCACCACAGGGCCTAGAGAGACTGGGGGAATGATTATGGGGTGGGCTTCCTAAATGCCGAGTCAATCACGTAGGGGAGACCCCCTGCACAGTTTGGCCTTCTTAGTGCCCCAGAAGCTCAAATTATTCGGAATTCCTTGCCTTTGTAGTCACTGTATTTCCACGTTTCTGCAACACAATCATCCACTTCTTTTGTCAAGGGATGAATTTTCTGCACCATTGCTGCGCTTGATCACCTCAGGGGTTTCACTGATTGTGGGCGTAAATGTGCAGTCTTTCCTACCACCCTCCTCTCCTTTTGGCATCAGAAGATTATTCCGTATATGAGGAAGAGGAAAAGCTGTCGAGGACGTAAATCCTCGGTGGGAAAATCCAAGAGAATTTCCGGTCGAACAAAAGGACCACATTGGGTTTCCCCGGGCCCAAGGTGGAACACACTAATTTTAATTTTACCACTCCGAACCCCTCTTCTCCAAAACCCAAAGGGAAACCCCTGGCCCCCCGCCAAAAAAAAACAAGCCCTTTTCCCCAGTGAAACCCTTTCCTTTTGGGCGGGAAGAGATGTTTTGGCTGATTGGCTAAACCAGGAAAGGTTTTTCAGGGTTTCCCGGTATACCATGGGTGTGGTATGACGCAGGGAAACGCAGACTTAAGATATGTGATAAAAAATTAAAAATTTTTTAAAAAACACTAACAATAAAAAACTAAACGCAGTGCAATACTAAACAAATACAGTAAAAACCAAACCCCAAACCCAAACCCCCCAAAAGATAACGGGGTAAAATACAAGAAAAGGTTTCGTCGGGGCACCCGGGTTCAAAATAAATTTGGCCGGTGGGTACAGGGGAGAAAGGGGAAAAGGGGTTGGGGGTCACAGGCCGGGGTTCACGGGTTTAAAGTTAAAAAGGGGAGGTGGGAAGGGGGGTTCAGGAAAGAGGATATCGGGAGGGGACCCGGGGAACAGAGCAGGAAATTCAAGCAGTTTCAGATCAGGCGGGGCAGAAAAGGAAACAGAAACGGGATGCGGGACAGATACGGGGCCCCAGGACAAAAAAACCCCAAAGGGCAGAGCCCCTGGGGGCCCTGGCCACCCCAAAATAAAATACCCCCCCGCAAATCTTTTCCGGTTGTTAGCGGGTTTCAAATTTTAAACCCACAAAGGGCGGGGAGCCCCGCTGCCAGCCCCGGGGTTAACTGCAGCCATAAGGGCAGCTGATCCCACAAATGCTGGCCGGGGCCCTTTTTCCTTTACAGTTTTCCCCCCCCAAGGGGGGGCGGCCAGGATGCCCCAAAACCAGTCCAAACGGGCAAAATGTTCCACCTCCCCCCGGGTCTGGTAACCTGGCGGAAATTTCAAAGACGGCACACCGGGCAGGACCCCGGGGGCACGGAAACACCGGGCGGGGACCCCCGGGGCAAGGCCCCTCGGGCCGGGGACCCCGGGGGCATACCCATTGGCAAGCAAAACCCGGGCGGGGCACCCCGGGGTTGGACTCCGGGAAAGAGGCACATCGGGCGGGCGGCACACCGGCGGGCACATGGGCTGGCCCCGGGGCCCGACACATCGGGGGGGGACCCCGGGGGCAGGGGCAAAATCGGGCGGGGACCCCCGGGCAGAGGCACATTGGGGCGGGGCCCCCCCTTTGGGGGGGGCCCACTCGGGCTGGACCCCGGGGCCAGAGGTAAAAACGGGCTGGACTCCGGGGCCAAGGCAAAAACCGGCCGGGATTTCCGGGGCCCAGAGCAACCCTTGGGGCCCCGGGGGCGAGGCACATCGGGCGGACTCCGGCAAGGCAAAATTGGACGGGACCCCGGGGCGGGAGGCCACATCGGAGCTGGACTCTGGCAAGCAAAATCGATACCAGCGAAGCCAGCAGGCAGCGGGCCACCAGGCGAGGCACAGGCACGCGGCCCCTCGGGGGCGTGGCAGCAGCAGCACCGGCTCCCCCGCGGAGCGGCAGCACCGGGCGCCCCGGGGAGCGGTCCACTCAGGGGCGCCCAACGGGGCGAAGCGAGGCGGGGGGAGGGGACCGCGGGCGGAGCGCGGCTCGCAGACCCCGCCGGCGGAGCGGACAGGTCCTCGGCCCCTCAGGCGGAGCGGCGGGCGCCGACCCCCAGAAGGGACTACAGTCCCAGGCCCATCAGCGAGCGGCGGCGCCGGACCCCCGGTGAGCGTACAGTGCTCGGGCCCTCAAGCGGACGCGTCGCCACCCCAGGCGGAGCGACGAGTCTCCGGGCCCTCAGGCGGATGCGGCGGGCGCCGGAACCACAGACATGGGGGAGCGACGAGGTCTCTGGCCCACAGGCGGAAGCGGCGGGGGCCGTCCGACCCCCAGGGTGGAGCGATCTAGGTCTCGGGCCCTCAGGCGGAAGCGGTGGCCCTAGCCGCCGGACCCCCAGGCGGAGCGACAGGTCTCGGGCCCTCAGTGCGGAGCGACAGGTCTCGGGCCCTCGAGCGGAGCGGCGGGCGCCGGACCCCCAGGCGGAGCGACAGGTCTCGGGCCCCCAGCGGAGCAGACAGGTCTCGGGCCCTCAGGCGGAGCGGCGGGCGCCGCGAGCCCTCAGGCGGAGCGACAGGTCTCGGCCCTCAGGCGGAGCGGCGGGCCGCCGGACCCCCAGGTGGAGGCGACAGGTCTCTGGGCCCCCACAGGCGGAGCGACAGGTCTCGGGCCCTCAGGGGAGCGGAGCGGGCGCCGGACCCCCAGGTGGAGCGACAGGTCTCGGGCCCCCAGGCGGAGCGACAGGTCTCGGGCCCCCAGCGGAGCGACAGGTCGCCGGACCCCCAGATGGAGGCGACAGGTCTCGGCCCTCAGGCGGGAGCGGCGGGCGCCGGGATCACCAGGCACGACAGTGGGCTCCGAGTCAACTGGCATGACCGCTGGCACTGGGTCAGACATTGGATCGTCTGGCTGGACAGCGGCATCGGGTCACCAGGCATCAAGTCATTTGGCTCGACAGCGAGCACCGCGTCATCTGGCAAGGCAGTGGGCTCCGAGTCAACTGGCATGACCGCGGGCACTAGGGCAGACATTGAATCGTCTGGCTGGACAGCGGGCATCGGGTCACCAGCATCAGGTCATTTGGCTCGACAGCGGGCACCGCGTCATCTGGCAAGGCAGTGGCTCCGAGTCAACTGTATGACCGCGGGCACTGGGTCAGACATTGGATCGTCTGAGTGGACAGCGGGCATCGGTCACCAGGCATCAAGTCATTTGGCTCGACAGCGAGCACCGCGTCATCTGGCAAGGCAGTGTGGGCTCCGAGTCAACTGGCATGACCGCGGGCACTGGGGCAGACATTGAATCGTCTGGCTGGACAGCGGGCATCGGGTCACCAGGCATCAGGTCATTTGGCTCGACAGCGGGCACCGCGTCATCTGGCAAGGCAGTGGGCTCCGAGTCAACAGGCACGACAGTGGGCACCAGGTCATCAGGTACCGGATTGTCTGGCTCGACAGCGGGCATCGGGTCACCAGGTATGACAGCGGGCACTGGGTCACCAGGCATCAGGTCATTTGGCTTTCCAGCGGGCACCGCGTCATCTGGCAAGGCAGTGGGCACCGGGTCACCCAGACATTGGATCGTCTGGCTCGACAGCGGGCATCGGGTCACCAGGTATGACAGCGGGCACTGGGTCACCAGGCATCAGGTCATTTGGCTCGCCAGCGAGCACCGCGTCATCTGGCAAGGCAGTGGGCACCAAGTCCCCAGGTACGACAGCGGGCTCTGAGTCAATTGGCACGACAGCGGGCACCGGGTCACCAGGCATTGGATCGTCTGGCTTGACAGCGGGCATCGGGTCACCAGGTATGACAGCGGGCACTGGGTCACCAGGCATCAGTCATTTGGCTCGCCAGCGGGCACCGCGTCATCTGGCAAGGCAGTGGGCATCGAGTCACCAGGTACGACAGCGGGCTCTGAGTCAATTGGCACGACAGCGGGCACCGGATCAGGTACCGGATCATCTGGATCAACAGCGGGCATCGAGTCAACTGGCCTAATAGGATCGTCAGGCTGGATCAGTTCATCATGCTGGGTAGAGGCATCAGGCTGAATGCCGGTGTCTGGCTGAGTAGAGGCTTCAGGCCGAGTAGAGGCTTCAGGCTGCGTACAGGCATCAGGCTGAGTAGAGGATTCAGGCTGAGTAGAGGCATCAGGCTGAGTAGAGGCATCAGGCCTGAGTAGAGGATTCAGGCTGAGTAACTTCAGCTGAACCACGGAAGGCAGGTTCACCGGTTTGGATACTGGCAGGGAAATATGGTATTGGTTGGAAAGAATTTTCGCTTTTTTCTGGTTTTAACTACTGGAGCACTGCAAGTAAACGCAGGTCTGCAAACGAATGGAGCAGCTGGAGACAGAGAAGAACTGGAGGATGGAACAGGAGAGGGAGCAGTTTGCTACAGAGGGCTTTTTTACAGGGTTAAAGGCAGGATAGGTGCAGCGAGTGGGAACAGGGTACTGACATGCGGTAGATAGCCAAGTATACTGGGCTGTAACTGGAGGAGCTGTTGGGAATACAGGAGTAGAGTTAGAAGCAGGACTGGGTTTTTGTAAGCTGACTGAGGCTGGGTGCAACAAGTCTGTCCATGTCTGCAGTAGGGGGTTGAACAAAGCTGAGCTTTACACAAAGCCTGTCTGGTCAATGACTGCACTGCGTTTATACAATCTCTTAGTATCTGTTGGGTGAACATGTGGAATAACGCTCCAGAAAGTAACCCACATCATCCTCTAATAACCACACCAGGGACTCTACCTGGTCTGCACTAAATGGTGGCAAAAATTCATCCCTGCATTCGGGGGTACCAGATGAAACCAACTCTGCACAAACCTCAATCAAAGGCTGCACCTCAGAGAACTCTGTGCCCTGATCTACTAGAACATGAGCGAGCCGTATACATTCTAGCAGTTCATCCCGGGTATACTCCTTCAGAGTTTGATAAGCATACTCCCTGTCATCAAACACTAGCAGATATAAATGCACAACCTCATCCAGATCCATCCTTCCCATCAACAAGCCAAGATGGCTTCCCCTGTGCAGCCACTTCTGGTCAGGATTGGCCTTGGTGTAATGTCAGGGCTCCCAGGTATGACCAGAGGTGTGTGACTGACGCAGGGAAACGCAGACTTCAGATATGTGATAAACAATATAATTTATTAACACTAACAATACAAACATAAACGCAGTGCAATACTAAACATAATACAGTGCAAACAAACCCAACCAACCACCCACAATAACAGTACATACAAGCAAGCGTCGTCAGGCAGGCCGGGTCAATATCAATTGGGCAGGTAGGTACAGGGTGAGCAAGTGGAGAATGGTCGGGGTCACAGGCCAGGTTCAGCAGGTAGCAAGCAGCGTAGTACAGAGGGTCAGGCAGAGGGATGGTCAGGGTCACAAGCCAGGGATCAGAACAGGTAGCAAGCAGCGTAGTACAGAGGGTCAGGCAGAGGGATGATCAGGAGCGAGCCGGGATCAGAGCAGGAGAAGTCAGCAGCAGTTCAGATCAGGCAGGGTCAGCAAAGGAACAGAAACAGGATGCAGGACAGATACAGGGCCCAGGACAAACACAACACCAAGGCAGAGTCTGTGGGTCTGGCCATCCCTTAAATACCCCAGCATAATCAGTTCCAGGTGTTAGCTGGCTGCAAAGTTGAGTCTCTGATTGCTGGGAGCACCCGCTGGCCAGCCCTGGTACTGCAGCTCATAAGGCAGCTGAGGGCCAGTCCATTCCTGACAGGTTTTCAACCGCCAAAGCGCTTTGATCATTTACAAGAAATTGGGTTCTCCAACTGTTGACATTATCGTTTCCTACTTCAATAAGACACTGGAGGATAGATGCTCTCTTTTTAGGACATGTCTCTCTCTGGTGGGGGCAGCTTTAGAGCCTGTGGTGAGGTTGCCAAGCCCTTGAAGTCTGGACGAAGCATATGCTCCAGATGAAATAAAGGATACATCCATCTGACAGTTCCTGAAAGATTTTCAGAGAGCTTCGAGTTTCTTGGTAGATGTCTTGGAAGATTCCATATGGCAGCTTTCAAGAGTGGGCACCATGTCAATCCACGAGAGAGATCACATGGCTCAAGTGTTTGTTGATGGTGCTTCTCTGTAGCTTATCAAAAGGCTACCATTTGAGAGCACGCAATTGTTTGGACCATCCTTGATTGCCATCATTCAGAAGGTGACTGGATAAAAGCACTGTGACTGGGGTGTCTTGAAAATGTGTAGAATTTTAAGGGTCCTTTCACATGGGCGTTCCATTTTTTTCATCCGTTCAGTCATGTTTTTTCAAAGAAAAACACGGATCAGTTTTTTCATCAGTTTACATCTGTTTTTCATCAGTTTACATCACTTTTTTCATCCGTTGTTTGATTGTTTAGATTAAGTGAGTCCTCATATTACATAGTTTTGGTAAATATAAAGGTGATTGTACAGAGATTGTAATGTGAATGGTGAGCTTAAGGACATCTGGTAAAATAGTACATTTGCCCCTAACAAATGAAGTTTGTGATTTGTTATTAGGGGCAGTTATTTATTAAAACGTATTAGCTTCTACACTTACATAAAGCATAGCTGTTAAGATAAATACTACCAGTGTTATAATTACAGGCACTGTAATATATACACTCACCAGACACTTTATTAGGTATACCTGTTCAATTGCATGGTAACACAAATTGCTAATCATCCAATCATATGGCAGCAACTCAATGCATTTAGGCATCTAGACATGGTGAAGGCAACATGCTGAGGATCAAACCGGAAATCAGAATGGGGAAGAAAGGGGATTTAAGTGACTTTGAACATGGCATGGTTGTTGGTGCCGGACAGGTTCGTCTGAGTATTTAAAAAACTGCTGATCTGCTGGGATATTAATACACAACCATCTCTAGGGTTTACAGAGAGTGGTCCAAAACAGATAAAATATCCAGTGAGCCACAGTTGTGTGAACGAAAATGCCTTGTTGAGGTCAGAGGAGAATGGGCAGACGAGATGCAATTTCTAGATCATAGAAATTCAACAGTAACTCAAATAGCCACTCGTTACAACCAAGGTATGCAGAATACCATCTATGAATGCACAACATGTCGAACCTTTAACCTGATGGGCTACAGCAGCAGAAGACCACACCAGGTGCCATTCCTGTCAGCTAAGAACAGAAAACGGAGGCTACAATTCGCACAGGCTCAACCAAAATTGGACAATAGAAGACTGGAAAAATGTTGCCTGGTCTGATGATTCTTGATTTCCCTAGAGAACGTTGTGCGTGAAAATCCCAGTAGATAAGCAGTTTTTAAAAAATTCAGACCAGCCCGTCTGACACCAACAACCATGCCACATTCAAAGTCGCTTTAAATCCCCTTTCTTCCCCATTCTGATGCTTGGTTTGAATCTCAGCAAGTTGTCTTCACCACATCTAGATGCCTAAATGTATTGAGTTGCTACCATGTGATTGGCTGATTAGCAATTTGTGTTGCCAATCAATTGAACAAGTGTACCTAATAAAGTGACCAGTGAGTGGGTGTGTGTGTATGTGTATATATATATATATATATTTATTGCTCATAAAAATTAAAGAAACACTTTGAAAACACATCAGTTCTCAATTGGGAAAAATATCACGCTGGATATCTACTGTATACCGATATGGACTGGGTAATGTGTTAGGAACGTAAGGATTCCCCATCGTTTGATGGAAATGAAAATGATCAACCTACAGAGGACTGAATTCAAAGACATCCCGAAAATCAAAGTGAAAAAATGATGCAGCAGGCTAGTCCATTTTGCTGAAACTTAATTGCAGCAACTCAAGATGGTACTCAGTAGTATGTATGGTCCCCACATACTTGTATCCATGCCTGACTACGTCGGGACATGCTCCTAATGAGATGACGGATGGGGGTTTATTTACTAAAGCTGGAGAGTCCAAAATCAGACTCCCTTCTGCATAGAAACCAATCAGCTTCCAGGTTTCATTGCCAAAGCTTCATTGAACAAGCTGAGGTTAGAAGCTGATTGGTTTCTATGCAGAATGGAGTCTGATTTTGGACTCTCCAGCTTTAGTAAATAAACCCTATGGTGTCCTGGTGTATTTAGTTCCAGATCTGGACCGACTAGGGCATCACTGAGCTCCTGGACAGTCTGAGGTGCAACCTGGTGGTGTTGGATAGACCGAAACATGATATCCCAGAGGTGTTCTATTGGATTTTAGGTCAGGCGAGCGTGGGGGCCATTCAATGGTATCAATTCCTTCATCCTCCAGAACTGCCTGCATATTCTTGCCACATGAGGCCAGGCATTGTCATGTACCAGCAGGAACCCAGGACCCAATGCACCAGCGTAGGTTCTGACAATGGGTCCAAGGATTTCATCCCGATACCTAATGGCCGTCAGGGTGCCATTGTCTAGCTTGTAGAGGTCTGTGCGTCCCTCCATGGATATGCCTCCCCAGACCATCACTGACCCACCACCAAAATGGTGATGCTGAACCATGTTACAGGCAGCATAACGTTCTCTATGGCTTCTTCAGACCCTTTCATGTCTGTCACATGTGCTCAGGATGAACCTGCTCTCATCTGTGAAAAGCACAAGGTGCCAGTGGCAGACCTGCCAATTCTGGTATTCAATGGCAAGTGCCAATCGAGCTCTATGGTCCCGGGCAGTGAGCACAGGGCCCACTAGAGGATGTCCGGCAATCAATCCACCCTCATGAAGCCGGTTTCTGATTGTTTGGACAGAGACATTCACACCAGTGGCCTGCTGGAGGTAATTTTGTATGGCTCTGGCAGTGCACATCTTCTTCCTCCTTGCACAAAAGGGCAGATACCAGTCCTGCTGATGGGTTAAGGACCTTCTACAAACCTGTCCAGCTTTCCTAGAGTAACTGGCTGTCTCCTGGAATCTCCTCCATGCTCTTGAGACTGTGCTGGGAGACAAAGCAAACTTTCTGGTAATGGCACATATTGATGTGCCATACTGGAGGAGTTGGACTTCCTGTGCAACTTCTGTAGGGTCCAGGTATTGCCTCATGCTACCAGTAGTAACACTGACCCTAGCCAAATGCAAAACTAGTGAAAAGCAGTCAGAAAAGGTGAGTAGGGGAAAAGATTTCAGTGACCGCCACCTGTAAAACCATTCCTGTTTTGGGGATCATCTTATTGTTGCCCATCTAGTGCGCCTGTTGTTAATTTAATTAACACCAAAGCAGCTGAAACTGATTACCAACCCCCTCTGCTACTTAACTGACCAGATCAATATCACAGGAGTTTAACCGCCTCCTGCCCGCCATATAAGGAAATGACGGGCACAAGGTGGCTCTCTCGTTCTGGGAGGATGTCATATGACGTCCTCCCACTTTAACCGCGCGTGCGCGCCAATCGGTGGTGTGTTGTGTCCCTGGGACACAGCGGATCACCAATCAGCGGAAAGAGCTGATGACTTCGGCTCTGTCATGTGATCAGCTGTGTCCAATCACAGCTGATCATATGTAAATAAGGAAATGCCGGTTATCGGCATTCCTCTCCTCACGAGCTGTCACGCTGACAGCTCGTGAGGAGAGGAGAGCCAGTAATCGGCATTCCTCAGAGGGGACAACTACACTGATCATCAGGGCACTGATTATCAGTGTAGCCCCATCAGTGCCACCTGTCAGTGCCCATCTGTGCACATAAATGCCACATATCAGTGCCTACCAGTGCACATCAATGCCACACATATCAATGCCCATCTGAGATGCCTTTCAGTGCCACCTATCAGTGCCGCCTATGAGTGTTGCCAATCAATGCCAGTCAGGGCCGCCTATCAGTGCCACCTAACAGTGCCAGTCAGTGCCAGTCAATGCTGCCTATCAGCGCCAGTCAGTGCTGCCTATCAGTGCCATATATGAGTACTGCCTTTCAGTGCCCATCAGTGATTTCTGTGAATGCCCACCAGTGATGCCTGTCAATGCCCATCAGTGCCACCTACCAGTGCCTCCTCATCATTGCCGCCTATCAGTGCCCATCACTGCAGCCTCATTAGCGCACATCAGTGAAGGAGAAAAATTACTTATTTACAAAATTGTATAACAGAAACTAAGAAAAAAACTTTTTTTCAAAATTTTCAGTTGTTTTTGATTTGTTTATCAAAAAAAAAAACTAGTGGTGATTAAATAGCACCAAAAGAAAACTCTATCTGTCTCAAAAAAATTATAAAAATTTCATATGGGTACAGTGTTGCATGACCGCGCAAGTGTCATTCAAAGTGCGACAGCGCTGAAAGCTGAAAATTGGCCTGGGCAGGAAGGGGGTGAAAGTGCCCGGTAGGTAAGTAGTTAAATGACTTGATACTATACTCTGATTAAAAAGTGTTCCTTTAATTTTTTGGAGCAATGTATATATAGTTATATATTGCCTTAAGCCGGCCATACACAACACAATCTGATTGTACAATCTCTGTATAAGTACCCAAATTTAAGTAATATGATGATAGCCTAAACAATCCATTCAATATGCACCAAATCAGGGAGGCCATTACACTACATAGTTGATGGTAAATCTAAAGTATATTGCAGATTGTATAGTGTATGATCAGTCTAAAAGTACATAGTACTGTCTGAGCCGGATGGACTACAATGAAAATGAAATCAGTGTGTTTACACCCTCCCCCTCTCCCTTGCTCTCCATGAGCTGGATTACAGGAACAATGGCACCTGGGTCACTCCCTCCCATGTGCTTGCATAAATGAGAAAATTGGAAATGCATTCCCTGCATTAACCACTTGACCTCCGGAAGGTTTTACCG